GACTAAAAGAAAAACTAACATACATTTTAGAAATGAAAAACAAAAAAAAATTGCAGGGATACTATATTTGCAGAGACTAAAAAAATATTTAAACCTTATTTATATTAGGAAGGACAAATATGGTATAAAAGTCCTATTTAAAAAATAAAAATATACATAATCCTATTTAGAAATTTAAGAAACAATTCAATCATATTTAGGCTAATAACTCAATCATCATTACAAGTCGTTAATCATATTTAGTAGCACAATACTAAAATGTGGTTGGATAAGAAAAGGTGTGTACCGGTGCACTCAAAATTTAGGAGTGCACCGTAGAATTTTCCTTATAAATTTTATACTTTTATGAAAATATATTGAATAACGAACATTTTGATATAGTTTTCATATTCAAAATAAATTCGAATTAAAAAAATATCATTAGTCAAAGTTCATTCTCATTGATCAAGAAAAGTCAATTTGACGAACCTTTTCGGGAAAAATGGAGTAATACCAAATTGGCACGTTACACCATACTCAGCCACTAACTTACTCCAAACAAATTTTCGCCAAACAAATTTATTATTAAACCCAATATGTATCAAGAGATTTACTTTTTAATATGCAAAATAATTATCCCCGTGCATCACACGGGCACAATACTAGAATATTGTATAATCTATAAAAATTAAAATAAAATACTACCTCCGTCCCTTAAAACTTTGCCAAAGTTGACCAGCACGGAGAATAATAAAGTAAAAACTGTGTGGGTGAGATTTGTGCAGAGGAGAGAGAAATAACAAAAATCACAAAATAATTGATTAAAAGGGAAAGTGACAAAGTTTTTTGGGACGTCTCAAAAAGGAAAGATGACAAAGTTTTAAGGGACGGAGGAAGTAAAACTTATAACGAACTTTTCAATACTTCCAATTTGTTATTCGACAACATTTACAGACTGCAAGTCTAAATTTTTTAAACATCCACACCACAAATCATTGGAGGAACAAACTTCATTTATTTGGATTCATTAAGGGTTAACGCATAAACGTTAATCATTTCATTTACTTCTCTCATGTAATTCCATATGATTCATTGATAGTATTTTGTCAAATTCTTTTGGTTCTCTCATGTAAGTGAAAGATTAAACTATAATATCAAGAATTTAGAAACTTGAAGTTTGTTTTATTGTAATTCAAATATGATTTGAAATATGAAAGTGTTTCTCCAAAAACGATATAACTTTCATGTCCTTATTGTAATTCAAATATGTTTTGAAATATGAAAGTGTTTCTCCAGAAATGATATAACTTTCACGGGCTGCACTAGTTCAAAGTTATATATTACAAATAACAATTGTACTACCTAATTTTATAAATAGTATTTTTTTATAAAAAAGTTATAAACATTCACACGTAGTACGTCTCTCAGGCAAACTCTATTTGTACTCTCCTGGGTTCATAAAATGTCAGGACTCGGCCAAAATGCAGGCTGCTTTTGGCTCGGGTTGCATCATATATGGTCATATGGGATGACAGTCTCAAAATTGGTGTTTTCACCTCTCTCATTGCGGACAAAGTTATAATTTTATCAAAGTTGAGTGACACGTAGAATAATAAAGTAAAAATTGTATGATTGACATTAGTGTAGATGAAAGGAACTTAAAAGTAATAACAAATTTTTTATTTAAAAAAAAAAGTGACAAAATTGATAGTTTATCAAGAGTTTTGGTATATTTCCAAAATTGCTAGAGCTAGGAATCCAATTTTTATGACCTAAACGGGTTTTACGAATCTAAGTACCGATTTCAAACCTTAATTTAAAAAAAAAACATCCTTACATGCATTTAAATATAATTCGTTCGTTTTTATAGGAGATTACGATATACTTGTATCATAATTCATTTCCTACTACTGAAAGAATCATAATTTAAACATCATAATTTAAACAACCAATGATCATATTTGAATAAAATGTGTGATATTTTATTACTACTATATTATTATGTAATATTCCACCCTATTTTAGAATGTTACGTTATTAATTGCATTTCAGTCTTAGACGGGATGAGACCAAATAATATCACACGAAATCAAATTTAAATTAGGAAAAATTGAAAATAATAATCTCAACTATTGCCGATCCGTTAACAATAATCCCAATTATTGATTATTTTTGTATAATCCCAACTGTATGGACCATCTGCCAATAATGGTCCATGACCAAATATTACCTCATATATCAAGTGAATTTTAAATAGAAATTAAACGTAATAATCAAAAGTTGTGATTATTTATAGGGATCACTTGATATATCTCTTCTCATGAATTTATTGGTGGAAGGTCCCTAAAGTTGTGATTATTCTGAAATAATCAATAGTTAGGATTATTATGAGCGGACCGTCAATAGTTGAGATTATTAATATCAATTTTTCCTTTAAATTATAATCAAATACAACTACAACAAGCCTTAATCAGATTGGATGACATTTGAAGAAACGGGAGCATCCTAAATCAGTTCGTATAGTGTGGGATCATCTCACGGTGAGCACCGTCTTGCACTTCCGAAACGACGTAGTTTTGCACAATTTTTTTTAAAAAAATCGCATGAATAGTACACGCGTGTACAACAACTGTTTTTTCTTTCTTTTTGTCCCAGGTGCATGAATGATGTAACTCGTGTGTAAAGATATGTAAATTACGTTATTGATCAATGTAACTCTCGAGTGCATTCACAATGTAACTTGTCAAATACATAGTATTAGAAATACACTATTGATTTCAATGTAAACAATGAAAAAAGAGGGTCTAATTGCACAATTGCTTCAGGTAAACCGTGAATATGTTTTGTTTTTAATATGATGACCACAAAAAATAATTTTTTTAAAAAAACAATTTTTTTTTTGTTTAGGGTTGATTTTTTAATGTAACTCATGTTATTACAAATGTAACTCGCATTGATGACAAATATAACTTAGGTGTATACAGAATGTAACTTGTTGAAAAATTGAACAATTTTTTTTGTGTGTGTTTGAGAATAATATATATATACCATAAACATTAATTTCAATGTAAACAATGAAAAACTGATCCTAATACGGAGTAGCTTAATTACTTTTTTTTAAAATAGTGAATATGTTTTATTTTTAATATTAGGGTTATAAAAATGATATAGCATGGGTTTATTCCGTGGTGTAAATCGCATACATTAAGATGTAACTCGCGTTTATTAATATGTAACTCACGCAGATGAGGATGTAACTTCATGATATATTATCAAAATCATTAAGATGTAGATGTAACACTAACATCATTGATACACAAAATCATCATTTTAATGCATAACTTGGTGTATTTGGTCAAGAAGTTTCAAAAATTGAAAAGCATTATCTTTCTAAAAATGAAATCACAGAAGCATAAAACTTTTATAGGTCGGAGAAAGCAAAGCTAATTGATTTGTATCGTTCTATCAAGGATTTACCCCAATATCTCGGAAATCAGAATCACATCCAATGATTTACTGAAGGATCTATGTCGGACTACCGCCGGAGAGTGTCCTGCTCACCCCTTAATTAAGCCCGAGCTACCGCCGCTTCAATCCTGCAGCAGGTAGGGGTGGATCCGGGCCGGACCGGTTCCGGGCCGGGCCTAGACCCGGGCGGGCTTTTTCTTCGGAATGTTGGGCCCAGAACCGGCCCGGGTTGATACCGGGTCCGGCCAAACCGGGCCGGGTCCAGTTCTATGTATTTTTTTGGCTTTGTAATTAACCCCTTCACCCCCTCCCTCACCCGCACCCCCAACCCAAAAAAAAAAACACTCAACCCTACCCAAGGAAAAGAAAAAAATTGAAAAAAAAAATTGAACCGGGCCCGGCCCGAATCGCCCGACCCTACAAAAGAGCTTATTTACACTTTTTATGAAATTTCGAGAGCTTATTTGATAATTCTCACAATGAGAAAAGATGAATCGGATTGATTTTAGTTATTGATACGACACTGTATTTGGACCGGTATACCATGCGTATGGTATACCGGTCATACTGTGATAGTGTATAATTTGCCTCCTCAATTAGATTTAGGCAGCAGAAAAAATTGATCCCGTTAATTAAACATGACTAGACTGGTACAGGACTATAGGGTGCCTTTCTTTCAATTCGTCCCCTAAATATGCCGAAAGCTCAACTAGCTAGTTATGGGGACAAGGAATTAGAATTTCACAAGACTTCGTCGTATAAAGAAAGCTTCGTCACGTTATGTACGTTGTTGGACAAGGAATTAGAGTTTGCTGTGTGTGAATTAATATATGAATTAAATCCAAGTTTGGTTCTATGAGTTTTATGTTAATTTCACATTTAATCTTTTGTATTTCATTTCGTCCAATTGCGATACTTAATTATTAATTCTTGATCAATTATGATTTTTCCATTCAATTTTTATTCAATTATGATCTTTTCGTCGATTTTAATCACCGAAAATATCAATACTAAGCAGGGGTGGACATATCGGTTTGGTTTAACCGAACCGGACTGTTCCAAACCAAGACCGGGCCATATATAAATTGATTAGAGCGTGGCAGTATTTCTTTCAAATCATATTAACTGAACCGAACTGAAACTGATAGAAAATGAACAAAACAAAATCGAACTAAAGAAATTCAATAAAATTTTCGTATGTTATTAAAAAGTAACAAATTCAAACTAAACCAAACCGAACTAAATCAAACCGATAAAATTAAAATTGAACCGAGAACTGATATGTCCACCCCTAAACCTAAGTGTGACATATAAAAAACGTGGACCAATTGTGAAATTGGTACGATACGCGCGTGTAGAATAAAAAATGAATTGAAATTCATTTTTAATATATACGTACTCCGTGTGAGATAGTTACTAATGTCCCTCCTACAAGCTAAGTTGAAAAGGCAACTTGTTGTGGCAAGCTAAGAATTGAATGAGAATCTCAGCTACCTTCATCCTCCATTCATCCTATATATACGTTTTTTTACCAGGCCAGATTTCTCCAGAACTCGCATCCTCAATTAATTGGAAGCTAGATGAACCAGTTCGCAATACCAACTTGAGGTATGTAAGCAGGAGCGTGGCGAGAGGTAAAACTTGTTGGAAAAAGTGTGTTAAAACTGCATTAAATGGTCATTTTGGGACAATTATTTGAGTGGGGTCCACTTTTGATTTTGGTCGGGTCAAAGTGTTTTCGGATTGTCCTCGTTAAGGGCTACAATTCGATGTATGGTACACTCAAAACGGATAACGGGTGAATGAGAAATCGGTTCTCGAAGTTTACCCGTTGGAATGAAGAAAACTAGGAAAATGTGGGTTTTAGTGTGGGTTTTTCCCACACCGAAAATCACAAGGGAATTTGAACCCTTTATAAAGGCAAACCTCCCCTAAGAAGTTAAGCTTCCTAAAGGGAAAGGCTTTGTCACTTTGTGTATACACTCTTACACATTTATGTTCATGAGACATTTTTTTATGTCTGTCCCAGACAACGTCTTTGTTAAATACATTTTGTTTAGGACAAACATAAAAAAGTCTTCACAATAATGAGTGTGTACCAATAGATTTTTTCTAAATTTTTACACAATTTTTTTAAAGCGAAACATATTTAATATTTGAGGTAGGTCGGACTCGGTTAAGCTAGCCCCTACTTCCGCCACTGTATGTAAAGTAGGTCCTCCTGGTGTTACGTCTTGTTGCGATCATTGCGTGCATCGATTTAGGGTTCAGTTCGAATTAATAGTGTATGCAGAAGTTTCGTTCAATGTGACCACTTTTCGATGAACTATATACGAAGTATATGAGATCATGTGATCGAACCCCGCAGCGGTGGGGACTCGCACGGGTAACTCAGTTGGTTGAGTTGTGAGAAAGTTATATGAATGACCAAGGATCAAAACCTGCAGCGACCGTGGGGAGGTTATAGCTCATGCATGCTGGGCAGAACCTTTGGCGCGCACGAGTACAAGGTCTACCATCATTGGACCAACTGAGTCACCGTGACTTACAACCTCCCAAAAGTCTTGTCGGGTCGGGGAGTGAGGGGCCCTTGGGGTTTGGGATTCAGCATTTCGGATGAGGCGATGGGTGAGCTCGGGGCCTAACTAGGCCTGACTAGTCCCAAAATCCATACCGTGAAAAAGTTGTGATACGTGCTTTAATTTTCCCGCCAAGACTTTGGGAGTGTTTGAAGTAGCTCATGCTTTAAAAAAACACTTTTTAAAGTGATTTTGTTAAAAATACTTATTACTAAAAATTAATAGTGTTTGAGAAAAAATGATTTTGAAATGTAAAAGTTAGTAGTGTTTGGTAAAATATATGTTTTTTGTGTAATAGAAAAAGTAAAAAGCAGATTCTAACTTTTAAGTGTTTAATTTAAGTAGAAATTATCACTTGAGAACATTCCTTTCAGCTTTTCAAGCCAGAAGCCGAAAATCTTTATTTATTTTTTTAATTTTGGCAAACATACCCTTTATGTAAGCGAAGGCATGATGTGAGGGCATAGGGCGGGTGTTCAATTCCACTTTTTGTGTCCAATGTTTATTTATTGGCTAACTAGTTGTCCTTTAATTTAACATCAACATTAATTTTCATTGGCTTAAAGTTTTGCTCCCTAGTTTTATTTTTCTGCGGGTTTGGTAAATATGAGTTTTATTAATTTAATACTCCATAATATATTAACCTCAGATTTTCAGGATAACAATAAACTAATCCGTGATTTCAAATCGGTGGGATTCTGAGAGAGCCGAGTTAAGAAGGCACTTCAATACTGTGGTTTCAAATCGGTGGAAAACGAATAGACAATGAAGGCCATTAAAGACAGGATTGCTAAACATGGGAACGACCTAGACCTGCATGACGAAGACGACGAGGTTGTCCGCGAGGTGCGCTTAATTATTTCTTTATCATTTTTAGATCTTTGTAACGTACATCTTTGTAACACGAGATTTTACCATACCCTCAAAGTACCGTACATCTTTGTAACACGAGATTTTACCATACTCTCAAAGTACAGTACATCTTTGTAACACGAGATTTTACCATACTCTCAAAGTACAGTACATCTTTGTAACCCGAGATTTTACCATACTCTCAAAGTACAGTACATCTTTGTAACACGAGATTTGATTTATTTCCAAAACAATTATGACCAATAATAAACACTATAATTAGTTTATGCACAACATAATCCTAACCTTTTTCCTAACGTCATTCAGATCCCAATTGAAATGGTTGATGAAGATTCTGATCCATTTATATCAGAAAAAGTAAAGTCAACAGCACAGAGACTACGGTTTGCTTCCATGACTTTGTTTAGGGGTACGGTGTCATAAAATGTGAGGACAGGACTTCATAAAATGGTCTTCTAGATTTTTTGTCCAAGTACTACGTAACCGTAAGATATATACTCCCTATGTACCCCAATTAAGTTACTGGTTTGACTTCACACGTATTAAGAAAATAAATTTGACTTTATTGTGGAGTGCACTGTTTTGCACTGTTCAAACACTGTTTGACACTATTTTGCACTTTTGACATTGTTTTGATGTAGATAATTTGCCAAATAACGAAAGTAAGGAAGTGTGAACTTAATTTAGGGACTGTCCAAAAAGGAAAGTGGTAACTTAATTGTAGGGTTGTAAACGAATCGAATCCAGGGCCGGCTAGAGCAATTATGAGGCCCTAGGCGGTCATGTAGAAATTTTGTTTTAAATATGTTTTATTTAACCCAATGATATAAAAAATAGCAATTAAATATAAGTAAATTACATATAAAATACATCATATACTATTAACACAGTGAGAATATTCTTCGAAATCAGAAGATCAAAGTTGATGAAAAAATACAAAGAGCCCTAGAGGGAGAAAGTTTTGTGCTTACATACAACATACCGATCGATAGAGCCGGAAAGTGATTTCATGACCAAATCATTTCTTAATTTTTTTCTTTGTCTTTGTACATCTTGATTCATATTTTGTTTTCCAATCATCACAAAACATAAAATTTCATTCAAAATAATACTATCACAAAATATAAGTTAATGGTTCATAGATATAAATTCAATTCACTAAATTTAATCATATATAAAAAATTATAAGTATGTTCAATATTTCGATGAATCAAAATAACAAATTACAATTTCAATTATTCAATAAGCATTCAAATATATTTAGAAATGTTAGTCCCATAATTTAACAAACAACAATCATAACAAGAAGAATAAGAAGCAGATAGGAAGAAATCGACAAGATTGAACGCGAATCTGGTATACCGTATGAAAACCGGCCGCTGCTCTCCCTGGAGAAGGAGAGCAGCGGCAACCCTAAACTCTCTCTATCTTTACGCCTCTGAACTCTAAGCCTCTATTCGATCGTGAGTTAGGGTTCCCGTAAGTTAGCATCCTTTTATAGGAGAAGTTGGCTAACTAACGGGTTACAAGGAAGCCCCCGGGCTGATACACTTTTGTGGCCCGTATTACACGTTTAATTGATAACTACACAAATACAAAGATAACTAACTAGATTGAACACCATAAAATATTCCCAACAAGAAAACTCATTATCCTAAATCCCTATCCCTACTGCCCTAGCCAACAAAGAAAAAAAAGGAAAAAGGAGCAAATAAGCCCACATACTAACCAAAAAGGTCAAATAAGCCCTTGTTTAAGAGACTTTGTCCCACCGTCGCCATTTGGGGCAGTTCCCGGTGGCATTTTTTGATTAATTGTTTTGAAAATCTTATTCATTAAGTCTTGTTTACTTATACCAAATTTCAGCTAACAATTCAACATGGAAGGCATTCAAATAAATTCTTGAAGATATCTGCGCTTTTAACTGCGCAGTTATCTTCAAGAATTCATTTGAATGTCTTCCCGATTGAATTTTGAGGTAAAATTTGGTATGAGTAAACTAGACATAATGAATAAGATTCTAAAAAAAATCATCAAAAAATTACAAAGGAAACTATCCCAAATGTTGACGGCCAGACAAAGTCTCCTAAATAATATTAATAAGCTTATTTTATAAATTAGAGGCCCCTAAAATTTGGAGGCCCTAGACACTTGTCTAGGGTAACTCCCCCTATGGTCGGCCCTGATCGAATCGAGTCGAATAGTGCGATTTTGTATTTGTATTTGTTTAATTTTTTCGAATACGAATTCGAATTCGAATATGAAACGAATATTAATTTCGATTTGTATTTGTATTTGTTTACCAATACGAATAGTTAACGAATCGTATACGAATATCGAATTGATTTGAGCATAGGTTAAATATTAGTCAAATATTACTTTAAAATAACTTTTCTTATATTTTTACGTTGTAAATGCATGCTATGACTTAATATGTGTTTTTAGAATTTAAATTTAATGGATAAATAAATTTTTAGATTGTTCACAATATATTAAAGTGAATCAATTTTATGATTAATAAATATAAATCTATTTCAAACCTTTTGAAATAAACACTAACACACACATATTAGAAATTATACTTATAATGTGTGAAATAAGTTGATAGTTGTATTTATCAAAGTCAAATGACTCTAATTTTATTCTTTCATTTGAATACATAATTATGTGTATTGTATTTGAAAGACATTTGAACCAAAAATCTGATTTGTATTCATATTTATATTCTGATTTACTACAAATGGGTTGGAATCTGTATGCATAAATATATACGTAGTATATATGCTAGCTACACTTTGAGGGTATTGCTATCTTTTAAAAGTTAATATAATGTTATTACTATTATTATTAATTATTAATATTATTATTATTGCCACTATTATTAATCGAATTATTTGATTAATATTCGAACCAAATACACTGATATTCATATCTGTATTTGATAACAACTCGAATCAAAATTAATATTCTTATTTGTATTTGAATTTTACGAATTCGAATTCTCTTATACGAATTCGAATCGCGAATCGAACACAAATTATTTGATTCGTTTACAACCCTACAGTTAATTGCGGGACGGAGGGAGTATATCTTTAGGTAGTTTGAATCTTTTTTTTACCAGAGGTAATTTGAATCTAAACGTTTAACTTTTGATAAATTTGGAAATTGAGACTATATTTTTTTAGCTTTATTTTTTATTACGTATCCAATCACATAAATCAACCTTAACTTTGAATTTTATAACCACATCGAATTCCCCAAATTTGTGTCACATTATTTGAAAGATCTTACATCATTTTATAACCACATCGAATTCCCCAAATTTGTTACACAACTTTGAAGAATAACCAATTAAAAAACAATAAATAGAATATCTTTCCCATTATTTGAAAGATCTTACATCATTTTGGTAAGTTTTTCTTCACAATGTCTAGATGTAGACATTGTGGTTGACATTGCAGACAAAAACTTGCCAAAACACATAAGACCGTGGAAAGAATGAGAGATAAATGTTATAAAATCAATATTTTGTGTCTCTCTCTCTCATGCCACATGTGCACCGTGCACATTGTAGCATTGGAGATGCTCTGAGGGTATGCATTTTCACTAGTAATTTCAACCAGAAAAATAAATAAAAACTCTAAAATGCTATAAAAGAGTTCTTTTATTTATGATATTTGAAACCAATAAACAAAGGGAGAACTATCAAATAAGCTCTCGAACTTTCATAAAAAGTGCAAATAAGCCCTTTTACAGGAGACTTTGTCCGGCTGTCGCCATTTGGGACGGTTTCCGGTGGAATTTTTTGATGATATTTTTTGAGCATTTTCTTCATTAAGTCTAGTTTACCCATATCAAATGTTAGCTAAAAATTCAATTGAGAAGGCAGTCAAATGATTTTCTGAAATATACTGCGCTGCCTAACTGCGCAGTATCTTCAAAAAATCATTTGACTGCCTTACAGATTGATTTTTTTGCTGAAATTTGGTATGAGTAAACTAGACTCAATGAAGAAGATTCTCAAAAAAAATCTTCAAAAAACTTTACCGGAAACCACCCCAAATGGCGATGGCCGGGCAGAGCCTCATATAAAAGAGCTTATTTGCATTTTTTATGAAAGTTCGAGGGCTTATTTGATAGTTCTCCCATAAACAAATGTTGCTATAATTGTGGTGGATGCTCCACGCCTGAAATACTTGTGATGTTTTTGAACGGTGTGAAATGTCATATTAGACGGGTTTTCAAAAATGTTATTAAAATAAAACTTATTTACACAAATATGATTAATGGTTACTACAATGTAATCTCATGGTAACTATATTCAAAAATTGAACATAAGATACTATGATTCCATTACTGTTATAGTCATTAGTCACATTTGGTAAATAATCTTGATTTTAGTCACATATATGTAATTATTTCTATAGTCACTAGTCACGTGATATAATATTAGATTTTATCAAATTAGAAAATTTCAATTAAAGTTATAGCATCGTTAATTTATGAATTTAATTGTTTGTTTGAGTCTTCACTCTTCAACAATACACATCAATCGTGTGAGATTTTTAGACGAATCAAGTGATATCCAACAAAACAGTCTTTGTGTATTGTGTTGAACATATTCTCTAGTACTCATAAATGACTGAAAATACACAACTAAATAATGAGGTCTAAAATGTGAGCATAGAAATAAGATGTTTTCAAATTTAATTAATTTACCTCTAATTATAAACGCTTGTATATAACTTATAACTTCTATTTTGTTGGATTAGTATTTCTCATTAAACTTCTCTTTATTGGGACAGAGTTCGCGGAAAAATTCGGATGGAACTAGATATGAGGGAAAAGGTATGGTATTAGTAACTCAATTAGTAACTCAGGGCATAGCCAAGAGTAAAGGTTGATGTGGATTGATACAAAAAAAATTATATAAATTTTTACGCTAAAAATATAAACATTTTTCAAATTTGGGGTGAGCTCCCACTGGTTGTCTTGTCTACCTCCGCCCCTACTCCAGTGCATAAAAAATTCAACATATACACACATGACACACCCGCTCCATTTGGAACCACTAAGGTTTGGCGAATCAAGTCGGAAAAATACGTTGAAATTGATGAAATTATGGGCGATGCAACTAAATTTGTTGAATCTGTTTGATTGTCAAAAATATATATTTGAAATATATTTTAGTATTAATAAAATAAAGAAGATATTAGATGAAAATATAGCAAAAATAATTTTATTCACCAATTTCAGCCAATTCAGTCAGATAAGTAACTCCTACATTACATATTTTGAGTATTGCACAATCAAACACGCGAAATTAAAAGTTATATAAGTAGTATTGATAAAAGTTGATTGATAAGCCAAATAGAATGGTTAACAAATTGGCTCTAAATATACATTTGTATAAATGGGAAAAGTCGGTATGAGAACTCTTCTTATCAAGGAGGCTCATTATGATTATGCTAGTATTTGTTAATTTCCCTCTCCCTAATAGTAAAAGACACATATACTCCATCCGTTCCCAAAAATACTTCTCACTCTCCTTTTTGGGTTGTTTCCAAAAATACTTCTCACTTTCCCATTTTGGACAATTTGTGTGGCTCACATTCATTTTACATTTTTCTTACACAACCACAACCATACATTTTCACTTTATTCCACTTTCTTAACAAGCGTGCCAAGTCAAACCGAGAAGAATTTTTAGGAACGGAGGTAGTACTAAATATTAAAAAAATTGAACTACACAAGACAAAACGATTAAAATAGATTAAATTAGAATTAAACATAACAACATATCAAATTAGACTAGAAAAGTTATCAATTCAAGTAAAACATTTTTAATGAGACGCCTTGTATACACGCCTTGTATAGCATATACTCCCTTCGTCCCTTAAAACTTTTCCAACTTTCTTTTTTGGATGTCCCACTAACTTTGTCACTTTTCCCTTTAAGAATTTGTGATTCCATTTAATTCTCTCTCCTCTGCACAAACATCAACCACACAGTTTTTACTTGGCAAAATTTTGAGGCACGGATGTAGTATAATCCATGTTATTTTTATACACGCCTTGTATGTTATTATCAAAACTTAATACTCCGTACATGTCATATATGCACACACCTTGTAAGTTTTTAGACAAATTACTTGTGATAACAACAAAATGTCTAAAACATGCACAAATGATTTTTCCTTTAATAAGAGGATGCATTATTTGAAAAATTATAATGTTGGATTTAGCAGAGAGATGACATTGTTCAACCAAGTGTCCTTCAAGAAGCTAATAGACTACGAAAGGAATTAGACAGTGTTCGACATATGTTCGTTGGAGTTCGAAAAAAAATAGATAATGTTCGACATCAAATCGATACTCTTCGAGAAGAAATCAACGTTTTTGTGGAAGAAGCAAGATCAATCGGACATAAAAGTCATTATCATCAATATCGGCAAATTTATCGGCAAAAGGGTAGTGGACTTAGGGATGAAGCTGATAAAGTTCGAGGTGAAGCTGATAGAGTTCGGAGTGAAGCGGATAGAGTTCGGAGTGAAGCTTATGCTTTCCAAAGTACTCTTAGTTATGATTCAATTGCAGATAAGCGTGAAGCGCAAAGGGTTTATGAGGAAGCACGAAGGGTTCGGGAGGAAGCACAAAGAGTTCGCGATGAAGCACAAAGAGTTCGAGATGAAGCAGATGGGGTTCGAAACAAAGCATATATGATTCGATGAGAACGCTTTATTAATAATCAACCAGAATGTTTATTTAATAACAAAAACAAATTACTAATTGTTTGGGCCTTTTGTAATTTCTCATTACTTGGTTGGCTTCTTTGTAATATTTTATAAATATTGTGTACTCCCTCCGTCCCATTTAAAAGGCTCCCACGTGGTTTACGATGTTTGACTGACCATAAAAGTAACTGACCCCTGTCATTAGTAGAATTATTTTTAGTAAATAAAATTTACGTATTCAGAAACTACATTAAAAGTTCTATAATACTTGATAAAAAAAAAATTCGATAAAAGTTGTATATATAAAGTAAAAGATTAAGAACAATGCACGTTGATCATAAAGTAGTGGACACGAACCTTTTAAATGGGACGAAGAGAGTATTAGATAGTTAGTGTATTAAGTCATCTTATTCTATTCAAACCTCTTGATTCACTCTCTTTGGAAACTTAAGCTTTCTAAGTTTCTTTGATGAAATTCTTCAGTTCTTGTTCTCATTACTTTATTATTATGGCATCATATATATATATTAGCCTGTTCAATCATTTATCATCTTCGTCTTCCCGCACGGCACAGATTGATTATCATTGATTCCCCATGATGGAGTATGTTGTCATATACCCCAAGGACCTCGGAAATATACGTAGTACAATAAAGAACTAGAGCCTACGTCATCTATATAGTGGGCCGAGGCCAGTGTCATAGTATAGAGTCAACTCTTTGTTGCTGAGCCTGATTTGAGGTTGAGCTACATCAACGAGCTAGGCCAAGCCCAATCATTATTTTTAGTAAATAAAATTAACATATTCAGAAATTACATTAAAATCGCTACAAAGTCTGATAAAAAAATATAAATTTGATAAAAATTTGATTTATAAAATAAAAGATTAAAAATGATTTAAGTTGACCATGTGAATAGTGAACGGACGTCAGATGAGAGGGAGGTAGTAGTACTAGGAATATGTTTAGGTGGTTGGTTCAATTCCTCCCGGGGTCCCGAGCTCAAAATTTTTACTCTCTTTTAGCATTCCTAAATCAGATGAAATGGAAGATTGAAAAGTACTTTGACAAAAAATTCACTTAAGGAGCTTCCTCAAAAACAGAAGAATCTGACCGTGTGAGACTGACTATGTCAATGGCGAAGTGTGAATGGGCAAGATATGCCATATTCCTTTCACAGGGTTTCCGATTGGTGCTCTGCGACCCCCGCCCACTCCTAACCCAGAAAATATGGTTGAGCCATTCTACATCCAATCATAAAAATCTCCACATGTATATGCTGCCACACTCCGTCTAGAAAGTCAACGTTCCCAGACCATACTGTGATTACAAGAAATTACAGCAGCCCAGTCTTCGATGGCGACCCAGTCAGCGCCCTTGCTGGAAATTCACCTGTTCTCATATGACTCTGGAAACACACATTTACCAATCCTTCCTCCCTTTTGGGTACTCATATTGCCAGCAGCTCTTTAAAGGTGATCATGAAACCTGCTGGTTAAGTTTTATATCTCCTTTCTCGGGGTTTCCCATTGATTAATTTCAATTGCACCCTTTGTTCCAGAAAGTGTGGTCCAATTATTTTAGAACAATACGTAGTTTATTTGTTTCTTGAGTCTCTGGGTGTGTGGGATTTGCATCACCGGTCTAAAGATTGCATCTTGGCATCACTTTTCTTTGTTTAGGTAGTCATTTTACTTGCTATATCTGAAATTGGGCTCGGATTTCACAATATTTGGAGTAGTAGAGGATATTTCTGAACCCGGGAAATGAAAATCATAAAATTCACACCAATTGAAGCGAGTTTGCTGGTATGGCTTTGCTGGCTTATGCTGTTCATTAGGGCAGACAGTCAAGTAACTCATCCTGATGAAGGTAGCTCCTTTTTTCCTCACGTGCCATTTGTTTATACTTTAAAGCCTAATTTTAAGCCCCCCCCCCCCCCCCCCCCCCCCCCCCCCCCGACTGAGATTGTAAATAATGTGTTAAAGTGAAAGTACATATTTGCCAAGGGTGAAATGAGTATTGTTCACACTGACAAGTTTTGTCTTTTGTAATTTGGATGGATGAAATTCAAGTTTGTAAATAAGGAAACAGCGGAGAGATATAATTATAAAGTATTGATACTAAAAAACATGGTGACTTTCAAATTTTCATTATATGCAGTAAAAGCATTGCGCGCCATTAGGGGTAGTTTGGTTGATCCAAATAGGAATCTCACTAACTGGAGGAAGGGAGATCCTTGTGCTTCTAATTGGACAGGCGTGCTATGCTATAATGACACAATGAATGATGGATACTTTCATGTCCGCGAACTGTATGACTTCACTTTCCCATGAACATAAATATTCTTTTTCTAGTTATATGTGTTCATTAAATGAAGAAACTCATAATTTGCATCCATTATAACATGACTTGTAAACTCTGCAGTAGCATCATGTGTATTCTTCTGTTATTGTAACAGACAACTGCTTAATATGAGTCTATCAGGGAGCTTATCACCGGATCTTGGTCGCCTATCTTATATGAACATATTGTAAGTTTGTTATTTTATTGGACACGTTTTTCTTTTTCATTAGGGGTCTGCTTGGAACCTGGAAATTACCAGAGAAATAATTTTGAAGGGAAACTTAAGGGAGAATTTGAAAGAAAGAAGATATTGGGGAACATAAAAGATAAACTAAAATTCGTTGAATTTTTCTATTCAATTTATTTCTAATCTGTAATGACTAAGAAATGTAAGAGCATGTAAGAATATTAATGTAAGAAAAAAATATAACAGATATCTGAGAACTAATCATATTTAATTTTCATTTAAAAAAAAAGAAAATAACTTTAACATTTTTCCACTTTTTCCTAGCATTTTCCAGGATCCAAGCATAGCTTAGGTGATGTGCTTCTTATGCTCAGCATCATTCTTATATAACCATATATTTTTTTGTTCTACAAAGAGACGTAATGTGGAATAGTATTGGAGGAAGTATACCAAAGGAGATTGGGAATATTTCATCATTAAAATTGTTGTAAGTTACCAATTGTCTAGTGTGTTTCTTGAAAATCAAAATAAAATAAATTCTGAATTGCCTCTGATTTTCTGCATCACCCTTTTATGTGTTCTCTAGGCTTCTGAATGGAAATAAACTGACAGGTTCCTTGCCTGAAGAGCTCGGTTATCTTCCTAACTTGGACAGGATACAAATTGATGAGAATCTAATATCTGGGCCCATACCTGTTTCATTTGCAAATTTGAACAAAACAAAACACTTGTAAAGAAACTTATGGATCACTGAACATTATATTGTTACACTAATTTTTATTTGCTCATGCTGTTTAGTAATTTGTTACCTTTTTTTGGACAGCCACATGAATAACAATTCGCTTAGTGGGCAAATCCCGCCTCAACTTTCTAGACTTCCAAATATTGTCCACTTGTAAGTTTGCTTTTTGTTAGTAATATATATAGTTTTATTTTATAGATTTATTATGTCTGCAATTTTTCTTTCAAGTTCTTTAATTCTGGTGGATGCTATGCTGATCCTAGACACACCTTGGGTCGTACCTGACTATATTTATTACCATTTTGGTTATTTAATTCTTTCTAGATGTTATTGACTTTGAACTTGCAGATTGCTTGACAATAACAACTTATCAGGATACCTGCCTCCTGAGCTGGCTGAAATGCCAAATTTGCGCATTCTGTAAGCTATGATTCTTTCTACATAAAATATAAAAATGTTATACCAGTGAAATGTCATGCATATTTGGAAGTTCATGATTGACGAGTGTGAGAGGGGATGAAACTTGGATCAAACCTTAACTATGTAACCAAATGATATGTGATCAAATTTATCACCCAATATTATTGTATTCATTTTTTATGTACGTTTACAAATCATTAACAAGTATACAGATGGATAATGGATTCACATATCATATTATAAAAAAGGTAAGTCTGAAAGGAAAAAGTTATTGGTGTTTTAAAACATGAAAAATAGGTGTAATTGTGGCTTGTGAGACAAAAAAGAGTGGGACTTATTCAATGAGATGGAAGAGAGATATTGATTACATGAAAAAAAGACTCCATGTACTAGATTAATTCATATTTCTTTAAACTTTTCGCTTTGGTGTCTTGTGGACTATATCACCCCATAACACTACTATTTTAACTCTTTCACATATCACCCCATATTACCTTTTTTTAAAGTCTAGATATTTTAAGAATTCTGAATAATGCCTTTCATCTCACTCTATCTGTTTGCAGTCAACTTGACAACAACCACTTTGAAGGAAGTCGGATACCAAAGTCATATGGAAACATGTCCCGCTTGCTGAAAATGTAAGTAAATGACCCCCCTTCCTGAAAAGAAAAGAAAAAATGTAAGCTGTATAAAGAATATGTATGTCTTAGGAATGTTCTGTTGCATGTATAAGATACTATGATATGATGCAGTTGTCTTTTCACAACCAATGTATCAATTGGATCTAATGTGTGATGATGCTTTATACAATTATGAATTATCTTTATTTGGCAGCCAATCTATATATAACTCATATATATTGATTCTTTCAATTTCAATCCACTATATGATTTGACAACCACAGACCAAACACTTTGGTTGGAGCCTAAGGACTATGGGATCTTAAGGAAGTTCATTTGTCTATTATTTACAGGAGTCTGAGGAATTGCAGCCTGCTGGGAGAAGTACCAGATCTAAGCAACATTGCTAACCTCACTTACATGTACTCCCTCCTTTTTCGACTGTCATTTTAGGTGTTTGTACACATACCAAGCTTTTGTTTTTTGGTGAATACAACTTATACAAGTCGGTTATTCTCATAAATTTTGTATGTTTCTTGTTAAAACAAATCTACCCAAGCTAGAATCATGCAATATTTGTTTTGGCCTGAAACGGCTTAGTGTAATCATAAGTGGTGCATGAGGACTATCGATGTCAAAATTGATACTCAATGGGTTTTAAAACTACCGTAGTGCTATTTCTAGCACACACAAAACATTGCTCGGTTCTGGTCATTTAGCACTGCTCTTCTTATTGAACTATTTTGATCCAAGCCTACTCTAAAATTGTTTCTTAATTTTCACATTTCAGAGATTTAAGCTTTAATCAACTTACAGGGCCCATACCACCGAATAGGCTCTCTGAAAATATCACAACAATGTAAGCGGCTTCTGTTTACAAA